CTACCAAGTGGCGTGGACGAGGACCCCGAACCTTGGGCTGACTCCATTCTCTCGCTTGGTGTGCTTCCCTTTGTGCTGTTGCCTGCTGTTGTGCCATTTCCTGGAGTGCTCTCCATTCTTCCTGTACTTCCTCCTGTTGTTGGGCCATTTCGCTGAGCTCAGCTTCGGCATCCTGCTGTGTTGTCATGCCCATACTCTGTGTTTCCGGTATCTCCATTTCCTGTGTTGCCTGCAGTGCAGTATCCTGTTGGGTTTCTTGCAGCTGCTCGGTTTCCCGTAAGGTTGGTTGGTCAGGTCCCAATTGGCTCTGGGTTCTTCTTCGTTCTTGTCGTCTTCCCTGTTCGGGTGCCCCCTCCTCCTCTTGTATTATTCTCATCCCCTCCTCCTCGTCCGTTTCCCACTCTGCTTCCCGTGCGCTTTCTTCCCCGCGCTCTCTCGTTTGTTCCACCTGTTGTGCTGTTTGTACTTGCTGCGCCTGTATTAGTGCCTCTTCCTCTTCTCGTTCCATCCGCTGGAGTTCCAATTCCTCTTCTTGCACCTGTTGACTTTCTAGTTCTTCAGGCCAGGTGTCTACCCAGGCTCCTTCTTCTACTTCTGTTTCGGTTGGTTCCCGGTTTCTTTGTGCGTAGTCTGCTTCCATTCTCTCAATGCGTTGCCTTTTATTTGGTCTCCCATTCCTCAGGCCCAGTTTCTAGCTTCCTTTTCAGTCTTTGTATTATGTTAGTTTCTCCCGTTATTTTTTCCTCCCGTACCTTTTTTGTTACGTGGTTAAATATTGCTTGGTGTCCTTCCAGTTGTCTTCCCGTGGCCTCACAGATTGCTAGCAACGTTACTGTGTCTGTGTTGTCGTGGTTTAAGCCGTATTCCCCCTCCTCACAGGCCTTTTTGGCTACCTCATCCACCATTTCGTTCCCCATTTTGTATCCCCACATGCGCTTTAACCTTGTATAGGGCCACCTTTGTCCCTTCCCCATTGAGGATTTGTATTTGGTTCATTATTTTCCACAGTATGTCCCGGTGTACATGCCTCTCCAGCGTGTGCGGCCTTTTTCTCATGTTTTGTATTTGGTAGAGTGAGGTGAGGCTATCCGTGCATATGCTCACTTTTTCTTCTCCTAAGTTTGAGTCCAGTATTAGTGCCATATATATGGCTGTGAGCTCCGCTCTGTTGACAGTTTGGCAATGTCATATCCATCTTTGCATGTGCTTCGTTGCTTGTCCCCCTCTTGGGTCCCAGACGCCTGCCGCCGTTACTTCCTCCATTTCCCCGTTTTCCTTTTTGACTTTCCTCTGGCTTCCATCCGTGTAGACCATATCGTTTCTGTTGTGTCGCCTGTCAGGCTCTGGGTATCCTTTCCCGTTGTTGTCCCACTGACTCTCGGGTTGTGGTTCGACTTCCTCTATTTCACCCTTTTCCCACTGCAACCACTGGTCCCCGTTTACGTCTTCCTCTGTCGTGTGTGGGTCCGTAAACTGTAGTGCCCATCTTCTGCGTGCGTCCCTGTTTATTTCCTCCCTGCTCCACGTAGTGTTGGCCCTTAGTACGTCCGTAATTGTGGGCCTCGGCCCCCTGTCCCCTCCTCTATGTTCCCCTTCTCTTCTCCTGTCTTCCATCCAGCGGTCAATTATCTCCTATGTGTGGCTATCCAGTTGTCCGCCTGGCAATACGTGCATCACTGGTAGTTCGTGGTTCGTCCATGGCGCCGGGTCTATGACACAGTCTTTCTCCCATTCTGTAATCGACCTAGGCTGCCTGTCCGTGTCCTTGAGTGTAAGGGGCCTGTGCATGTAGCATGCCCTGCCTATTGTCCTAACCTTGCTTTGCGGGCACTTAAGAAGGGCCGTACTGAATATGCTGTGGGTTTTGAGCGCGTCTGGGCAGAACTTCCTCCACCCCGCCGCGTTCGCTACTACCAGTATCCTCATGTTCCAGTTGCATTGTTTGGGTTTTTGTAGGTTACCTTGCATCCAGTGGTCAGGTGGTAAGAAGGTGAACTGCCCTTCCTTTACCTCTAGCAGTTCATGTACCCTGTACCCCATGTGCTTGTTTAGCAGTTTCCTATACGGGCTTTTGGCATATGTGGGGTATATCCCTACCCCTAGGACGGGTTCAGCCGTTTTCGTGGAGTTTATTGCCTTTTTCAGTGCCCTGTAGAGGTCCCCTGCCGTATATTCCGGGTTGAATTGGTATGACCCCAGCTGTTCCCATTGCGCCTCCCATGCCGAGTCCACAGCCCCGAATACCGAGTCCCGTGGGTATTGTGAGTAGTACGTCTTGGTGTTTTTGTGTACATTGAGTGGCGAGGCAATGACTTCTGTCTGGACTCCCATGGCTGTATGTACCGCCTCCATCATTTCCGGGGGAAAGGTCCAGTGGTTTTGGACGAGGTTCCTTTTTCTGTGTTTCATCTCCGCTTTACTAGAGTATCTTATTAACCAGCGGGCACCAAAGGGTAGACCACCGTAACTGACCCAAGCTGAACAGACAGTACACCAAGCTCCACAGAAGCATAAGTACCAACAGCATAACCAGAGACCAGACATAAGCCGGTATCACTGGTAGCCAGTCCATCAGCTGAGAAAAGCTGACAAGCAGAACGGCCGACGGACCCCCCTGCTGGCGGGGTAAGCTGACTGACTGACTGACTGACTGGCTGGCTGGCTGACTGCCGCAGACCCAGAGAGTACCCAAACAATAGTGCTGAGGTAAATAAGGCCAGGCTACATATAACCAGGATAACAGTCCAGGCTGATGAGGAGTGTCGGAAGGCACGGGGCTCACCCTCCGGAGGCTGGGTTGTTGGAGGTCGGGGCGTGCCCGCCGGAGACTGCCGGCCCACAAGGTGCCTCCAGGTGCGTACGGGTGTCCTGGCACCGACTGCAGGAAGACATAAACGAAGGCTTTGTATGCAGAAGGAAGGCACAATGAAGGCTAAACAAAGGCTTTGCCCGCAGAAGGAAGCACAATGAAGGCTGGAGGAAGGCACAATGAAGGCTGAACGAAGGCACCTTGAAGGCAGAACGAAGGCAATGCCTGCTGAAGGAAGGCTAAACGAAGGCTGAAGGAAGTCAACATGAATGTTGAAGGAAGGCATACTGAAGGCTAAACAAAGGCTTTGTATGCAGGAGGAAGGCACACTGAAGGCTAAACCAAGGCTTCGTTGTATGCAGAGGAAAGGCTGAAGGAAGGCTGAGCAGAAGGCTACAGGCTGCCTGTAGAAGAAAAAGGTTAAACAACGAGGCTTTGCAGAAGGAAGGCAGAATAGAGGCTGGAAGACACAATAATGAAAGCTGAACGAATGCAACCTCGATCCACCGGTGTCCTCTCAAAATCTCCAGCGGTCGTGTTTGGTTGCGTGTGGGTCGTGGTACTGAACGAAGTTAACATGAATGTTGAACGAAGGCACAATGTAGGCTAAACGAAGGCTCTGCCTGCAGAAGGAAGGCGAAACGAAGGCTTTGCCTGCAGAAGGAATGCACAATGAAGACTGGAGGAAGACATAATGAAGGCTGAACGAAGGTTTAATGAAGGTTGAGCAAAGGCTTTGCCTATACAAGGAAGGCAGAATGATGAAGGTACACTGAAGGCTGAACGAAGGCTTTGTATGTAGAAGGAAGGCAAAATGAAGGCCGAACGAAGGCTACACGAAGGCACGGCCTGCAAACGGAAGGTAAAACGAAGGCTTTGCCTGCAGAAGGAAGGCACAATGAAGGCTGGAGGAAGGCACAATGAAAGCTGAACGAAGACTTTTAGTAGGTGTGCGAGAACCTAGGTGTGGCTGCTGTGCTGAAAAGGTCACCACTGGATTAAGCAGACAGCGCAGGCGTTGGCGTCACTGAGTTTGGGCCATACCCACCCATTCCATTGCTGAATTCCCTTTTGGGATTCTGCGCAGGATTTTCCCTGCGCGAAGCGCCGAGCGCAGCACACCGTACCGTCATAGTTGAAGACAACTTTGAACCAATTGTCAACAGGTTGTGCTGGGTCATATCCTTGAATCAACGCTTGGAGGGGATGCATGAGAGGGTCCCCGGGAAAGTCCTCGACGGTTTCGAGGGCCCAATCTCGACCGCAAGCCCCAACAGGAACTCGCAACTCATGACCAACCAATTTCTAGATCTGAAAGGCACTCGTGGTAGTACACCACTACAGCCGGCCCGATATTGTGCAATTTCCGGTTTCCTGTATTGTTATCCGGAAGTATCGAGGAATAATGCAGCAACCTTAGGGAACTTATGCCGGACAATGCAGCAAAATATTTTAAACCCCAACGCATCTGGATTTAGTGATCTGATGGGGACTCCCCGCGCAGGTTCAAATCCTGCTGGCACCGCAAATTCATTGGGTGCTATGGTCGAGTGGTTAAGGCGTCAGAATCGAATGTTTCAGTTTTCGTCAGCTGTCAATTGTTTTTCAATAAATATGTTACGGGTCGAAAGATGACAGACGCCCGCAGTCGCGATGTTGGTCCGGCATCGATCGATCGATGTCACAGTCGATCTCCGATCCGTATGATTATCGGAACTGTACAAGTGCCACAAGAGGATCGAGCTTCAACACCAATAAGCTCCGATAGCTCAGTGGCAGAGCAAGTGGCCGACAACCATGAGGTCACCGGATCGAAACCCGCTTGGAGCAACATGTGTGCCCGAGCTCGCGTTGACGTTCAGGTCTTGTACAGTGAAAGTCCCATCACGATTGATAGATCCGTTAACACGCTGATGGCGTGAACACATTCCACACAACCTCCGGTACGAGCGGACAAGGTTGGCTGCCACGTCATCACATCCGAGGTCGGACCTCTGAAAAGTGACTCGAGACGAATGTCGTGAGGTCACGACACTATAAAGAGGGGAGCTATGTTGCGGATCGAAAGATGACAGACGCCCGCAGTCGCGATGTTGGTCCGTCATCGATCGATGTCACAGTCGATCTTCGATCCGTATGATTATCGGAACTGTACAAGAGCCACAAGAGGATCGAGCTTCAACATCACTAAGCTTCGATAGCTCAGTGACAGAGCAAGTGGCCGACAACCATGAGCAATCGATTACTCCCATGAGGTCACCGGATCGAAACCGGCTTGGGGCAACATTTGTGCCCGAGCTCGCGTTGGCGTTCAGGTCTTGTACAGTGAAAGTCCCATCACGATTATATTTGCGGTGGAATTTCTTTGGTGTTTTCTTGAGAAATCTTTATGACTTTAAAAGTATGAAGCAATGGCTTACTGCATTGGGTATGCCCCACTTGCTTGAAAATTGTTGTTTGTCTGTCCCTATGGACTTGGGAATTTGTTGGTTGAGGCTACGGGTATCCTCGTTTGGGCCTACATACTCTTGAAATCCTCAGATTGTGTGAGGAACTCCTCTTGGAGGAGTTCTTTATTATCCCTTGGGGATTTTGTTGAGGAACTTTGCACAATCTTTGGAAATCCTCAAACTGTGTGAGGTGTCCCTCTTGGAAGAACTGTATGCCCCTTGGGGGCTTGTTCGGGGACAATGGCTCCAGGCCACAGAACACGGGAAGATGCCCCGTTGGGGATGATGATAGGATCACGTAAATGTTTGGCAATGATTAAACATATTAACTTGTTAGGCTTACATTGAAGTACTTGGCATATCATGATTGAATGATTGTGCTTGCATGCACTTTGTTCGATTATTGTTTTTACCCCTTGGTTAACGGTTTGTCAGAAAGAGTTCGTATTTTCTTATCGGCATTTCGAATATGCGTATGCATGGAGCTTTGTATGATTCTTGTCCCGGATTATTTTGCGACACGAATAGTGCATGTAAAGTGTTATCAATTCATATTGACAAAACAAAATGGTCAAATAAATCAAGCCAGTCGGATCCGTTCAAGACCGCAGAAAAGTCCTTCTGCAACTTAATTTTGGACTGCGCAAAGAGACCCCACCCAAGCTCTGAATCCAACTCGGGCTAACCCACTGACGGGAAGGGACGTGGGACGATCCCCCCAGGCCATGGGAACTTGACTGGTGGCCGCCGACTTCTCGTTCAACGCCAACGGGCTTCCCAGAATCCGCCGCAAGCTGCGCTGCACCGCCTCGTCGAAGTGTAACTTTGACCTTTCCATTGTGAGATGTGAATCTTACAATAAAGTTTCCTATATATATATATGTATATATCTTTTTACATAAAACAATCAGAACAACGTAAGAAAAACACATCTACCATCTCTATTCACGAACTGAATCAATGTAGATCCATCCATGAACACTTAAAAGGCGAATTAAAATGCTGAATATCGCCTGGACGACAAACTGGATGAAATTGGGGTCCTACCAATTCAACCTAGAATACACGCCACAAGACCTCAAAAAAGCACAGGACGTTGCCATTGCGGCCAACACCACCCAAGACCCGGTGTTCGGGATCGGAGTATACCCGACATATGAGAAAACTCCATACAGGAAACTATACAACGCACACGCGGGGCACATAGTACACGAACTGTTTGAAATACCACAAGGCAAATTCACCTTCCTGCCCCCTGACCACTGGATGGGCCCTACCCACCAATAAGCGAAGCAGTGCAACTGGAACCTCAGAGTACTGATAGTTGCCAACAAAGCAGGGTGGCAGGCCCACTGCGGTGACCCAGATGCTGCCGCGGATTACATAAGGAGGGCACTCACGACTTGTCCGCAAAGCAAGGTCCGCACGACCACAGCCGTCAGACAGCCAATGAGGGAGGCGAACCTGCACGACACGAACGACCCAAACCAAGAAGGACGCACCCTCAGTGTGGACTGTGTGGTGGACACAAGACCATGGCAGCGATACGAACTCCCGGAGGTTAAGCTAAAGGACATGATAAATGCAAGGGGAAGAATGTGCAACACAGGGCCACATGTACGGAACGACCTCTGCTCCCAGTGCTACAACGTACAGGCAGCGGTTGAAACTTGGTGGGAGGACAACCACCTCCACGTGGAAGAAGGACCAGCCAAATGGGAGCTCCTCCCCGGAAGCAGGGGAGGAAAATGGGACATTGTACAACCCCCCACCATACAACAGGTGACGGATGCGAACACGTTACACACCAGGCATGCAAGACAGACTGACGCCCAGACGGTATGGGACAAGGTAGCGAGGTCAAAAGTAGTCAGATACCCCACTGACTTCTGGCCCGAACACGAACCGGGGGTCCAAGGGAGAAGATGGGAGCTAACAAGAGACCAAACGGCGGACCCCAGGAACTTAGCCCCGAGTGACACACCAGCTCAACTGACATAGATCGATACCCTCCCCTTCAAAGGGTACACGAGGCAACCTCGTACTTATACACAGACGGAAGCAAAAGAGAGATTGAAACAGAAGAAGGAGGCAAAGAATGGGCTTCAGGGGCCGCGGTATGGGACCCCAGGACAGGGGAAGGGGAGGCCCACATGATTCGGTGGGATAGTAAGGACAAAGAGGTGAACAGAGCCGAGCTCCTTGCGATACAAAAAGCCGTGACACTCCCGCCGCCACCAAGTGGCAAAGGACTCACCATTTGCACGGACAGTGCCAACTCTATTAGACAACTGGAGAGCACGAGAACGAAACCCCACAGCATGGAACACCACCAACAACGGGACCTCCTATATGCCATACTGGTCAACATTGAGGCATTAGTAGTAGCGGGGCACACCGTCTCACTCCTAAAAGTCAAAGCACACACGGGAATTACGGGAAACGAAAAAGCCGACGAGGCAGCTAAGCAAGCCTGCACCACAGGGACCCTCACGGAAGCATGGGATAATGACGAAACAATAAAAGTCAAACCCATGGTACCGGACGGGGACACGGACAGCAAGGAACCAAAAGGAAAGCTTGCAGTACAAAAATACGTAACTACAATACTCCGTGAACGGCAAGCGCAAGGAGAGAATAGACTCTCTGCAAAAATGGCCGAACTCCAGGGAGAACCCACAACCTGGACCCACCAATTGAAAAAGGAGCACGTTTTCAGGTGGGAGGCGCACCATGACCAAGCACAACAAACTGAAGAGGAACGAGCGATAATACGGGACCCGACGCCCAACCAGCAGCAACGGGCCGACCAGGCCCGAGAGGAAGAAGACAGGCTAATAAAGGCTATGATGGAACAGCGGGAGGAAGAGGAGATACTTCATATGCAGGAAATGCAGGAGCAACAAGAACCCTGGGAAACGGAGGGCAGAGCGGACCACACCCAAGGAAGTAACCCCAAACCCGCAGAGGCACCACCTCAACCCTCTGAAGAGGAAGAGATATTTGAAGAGCTCAATGAGCTCGCAGAAAGACTGGAGACGCCCCAAGGGGAACAGAACGATGAGGAAATCTTTGGAATACTCAATGAACTCATTGAGCAGCAGGAAGCGCCACAAGAGGAGCTGGTAAATGAAAGACAAGCTCACCACGACAGGGCCACGGAGGAGTCCAGGGTTCATGCGATGATGGAGGACCCGGCGCCCAGAACAAGATGGAACCAACGAAAGCACGCCATGACACACAACAGAATGAAAAACAGAAATGCCCCCCTGGTCAAGGAGGGCAAGGCCACCAAAAACTGGCTGAACAAAACGATGGAACACCTCAAGGGAGACAAATCACTACACAAAATAGCAAACGGCTTCTGGAAACGAGCCACCTACGCGGCACGCAAAACAATACTCAAATGCAGACTGAGGATACCGCCAGCACAAGACTACGAGATGGCAAATAACTCAGCCGGAGGGAGCGGGAAATGCACCCTGGAGGGCTGTGGACACCAAGGGGTGGACTATGCAAAAGGCTTTATCATGAGAGTGGGACACGCGCTGGGTGGGTGCAACAACCCACAAATGCGAGGAATGTTCTCGGACAGGGCAGACGCGCACGCGGACGAACTAAAACACATACTTGACCACCACAGAAAAGGAGGGTGCAAAGTCCTCGCCTACACCGGAAAAAAGAGGGACCCGGGGGTTAAACCAAGAGTACTCCCAAATTACATACTCACCAGAGGGCAATGCCGACAGGACGGCAAGGACAACCCAGGCAAAAATGATGGACCCGACACCATACCGAGCTTCGTAGACATAGTCATGATAGATGGCCTGGAAGACCTAGTAAGAGGACGGGTGGGAATGCACACAACAGGAAGCACCAGCAAGAGTCAAAAACCTACACCTCATTGAGGTGGCCCACACCGACGACGAAAAATGGGGACCCAAGCTCTTGGGAAAATACATGAAATACGGACCACTGCTACAACTACTACGTGGACACGGCTTCCGTGCCAAGCTCCATGTCTTCGCAGTGGGCAGGACAGGCACAGTGTACAAACACAACCAAGACATACTCGAGCAACTTGGACTTAACAGAAAAGAAGCCACGCAGGCACTACGAAGGATACACGACCTGACAGTGGATTACGCACACAGCACCTACCAGCTATACAGAAGACTCAGACAAGAAAAGCAAGAGGATGAGATAGATGAAAACCACCCGGTGTAAATTGTCCCTATAAGGCCGCCACTTGTGGCGGTCCGGCCCAGAGTAGGGCCGGGGAAATTAATTTACTCATACGCCCGACGGGCGTGGTTTTTCTTTTTCTTTTTCTGCTGAATATCTTAGTAACGTTTAGCACTGCGTAAAGGTACACCGAAACAACCACAACTTGCGATTTACTTTGCCGAATGCATTTTTTTTTGAACGTTGGAGAGTATCAACAACGCTTCCACATATATCCGATACATATAGCACATCGCCAATAAATCTTTGTTCATGGTGCATGTTAAAATGAGCAGTGACCAGAGAAGTTCTAGAGCTTCTGGGGCATGCCATCGGTGATATTTCGTGATCTGAGGGGCGTGCAATATTGGAATGAGTCGCGGAGGATGTCGAGATGATGGGGATATGTCATGGGTCGCACACAAGTGCCGCAAGTGAGAGTGATGTACAAAACCGTGATGGTTATGCAAAAAAGCTGATTAAAATAATGAATAAACCAATTCGCCTTTTAAGTGTGAAGTGTGTGGTAGCCCAACAGTAACGTCCAACAGCTTCGTTGCAGATGTACTAGGAAGTAGTTCAAAGATAGCTACAGAATGAAGAAAAGCA